CCCCCCCCCCCCCCCCCCCCCCGCCCAGGAGCACGATACCACGCTCGCCACCATCGCTGCTGCCGCCATGATGAACGTCGGCGCATAGACCTGTGTTCCAATTGATTGTGTACGCTCCGCCATCCGTATCCCGTGTCCTTGCGTCGCTGTTGCAAAACGCACACGCTGGCTCAAGCCGAAAAACGAACATTCTGTGATGCTTGTGTTGCTTCTCCCTCCTCAGTGGACGTTCGGTGTCGCTCTTGCTTTCGGTCCTCGTCCTGCTATTTCCCCTTTTCTTGCCTGGTGCTTTTGTAGTCTAAGGTGCAGCTTGCGACTGGTTCAAGGCCGGGTGTGGACGTCCCGTTGTTCCCGCCGTTTTACGCTTGCGGCTTTGGCCCGCCGCCATTTACGGTTCTCGATTACGGCACCCAAGACACGGCTGCGTCCAAAGCGAACCAGGTGCGACGAAGGGAGTGGTTGTATAGGGTACTAACATAACGCTGGTAATCAATGCCAATTCTTGCCCACCGACGATGGGAATAATTCTGGAGGTAAGCATAGTCCCCACCAGCGCCGTGAACATGGTGTGTGTTCCTTCCTACTTTGCGCGTAGAGTGCCATCTTCCGGTATTATTACTTTTGTCGTGTCCTCCACTACCTTTCCTACTCTCATTCATTTTCCGAATCTTGGTACGTCCTGTACGTGTCTCCTTGCGCCCCGCCTACATAGGCCCCGCGCGCGCTTGAACCAGGTGCCGTACCGGCCGCCCCAAGCACCGCCGATGCTGGCACCGGCATGACGAACAACGGGGCGGACTGGAAAACCGTTTTACAAGTAAGCGCTGTCCGCTCGCTTCTCGTGAGGCTCTTTGAGCTTTTTTGCGGCGGGTGCGGTGCCGTGCGTGGCGGGGATGCGCTTTTCAATCAGCACAATCTTGCGATGCCCCGTAGACAATGCCCCGTAGACGATCCCCGGTAGACTATGCCCCGTAGACAAGGGTAAATATAACTCAACTTTCCTGCGGGCAGTCGTTTCTTGGTCCATTTGGAGCCTGTATTGCTCCCATCCTCTTTTTGACGTTTCCCCTCCGGTGGACCATGAACTACAACCCCGCATTATCCTCGTCTCCCCCTGGGACTCCCTCGAGTATTTTCACGGAATGACCCACGGATTTACCGCCTGGCCCGCCTCATCTTTCAACTCAACACCCGCTGCGCGTGGCCCGGTGACATTTGTGCCTTTCGCTGAATCCGTCCAGCACCAGAGCGTGAGACCGTTCGTTGCATCCAAGACCAAGCGCCGGGAGGCTTGGGTAGCTGGCACCAGAAGGGTTTTGAGAGCCGGTAGTACCGACGACGACGACACCGATGGAGGCGGCTGCGGTTCCGACTGTGAAAACGACAATAATGACGACAGTGACGACGATAACAACACTGGAAACAATTCCACCGGCGGCTACGACGGCGGCGACGGTCCCGAGGATTCTGCCTCGGACAATACCACGCCCGACGACGCAACGGTGAGATCCAAATTCCCGGTACGTGCCTACCTGCTGCGTCTTAAATGGAACAAAACCCATCCAGGGGGGGGGGGGGGGGGGGG